TACTAACCTCTAGTACCAAGGGGTATTCATAAAAAAAAAATTAAAAAAACTGACAAATTCGTACACTACTGTAGATCTGGTGTCAGTTTCCACTACCTAGCCTAGCCGACCAGTACGAACCAACCGACAGTGCAGCAGTGTGGTCTATCACAATCTAGTAGTAGTAGACTCTAGGCCCTAGCTAAATTTACCTTCAATAAAAAACAAATTATTTTAATTGCTAGCATTCTCCCATTTAACAAAATATTGTTATAATTCTCATTAAAACGTCTGTATACTTTATGGACCGTTCTGTGGTTTTTTTTGTTTTTTTTGTAGTTTTTAGATCGCTCAATTGTGTTGTTTACATGCACTTCGCGAAAATCTAGCTTCGCGGTGTCAAATAATTTGCTGACTTTAACACACTTTTTTATTTCGTCATCGTAAACATGTGCGCTCATTTTAACGACTGGCGTTGGTGGTAGTTTGTTGAAATTAATAGTGACTATTATATTATATTGAATTGTCAATAAATAAATAAATAAATCTGATTTATTATTAAGAATAATATACATTATCAATTAAAACGTACGCAATCAGACTTTTTGACGTTATTACTTGGTCGATGATGCAAAGGGCGAAGGTCATTTGTAATATCGACTATTCGTAAAACAGACGTTTGCTGGGTTTCTACCCATAATATTACAAATAATTTCTGAAAACCAGATTAATGAGACTACTTTGCTGCTGTTGTTAGCAGTGTTGGAGCATAGTACGTTGTTGCCAGCCAGAGGATGATAATGGTGGTACAACACAACAACACTGGCTTGGATGCTGACGTTACGTAATCGTGTCCTTGTAATCCGAGCCGACTTTACCGTTAAGCAAGTTAATTTACTGTTATTCTAGTGAAGTTAAGTCACTTAACTTTAAGTGACTTAAGCCTTTATCTAGCTATAATTGACTGGTTGACGTCGACCTTTTAACTAGTTATAGTGGATCTATATCTAGATTAAAGTTCGACGTGAACCAGGCTAATAAATTTTAAAAATTCATTTTTAATACCATAAACTTAATCAGAGAACTGCAACCATGCAATGAGATAACAATATACAGTGATGTTTTTTAATCAAAAACAAAAGATCACTTGCCCTACGGTATATTATTACAGTACAGTGAAATAGCCACAAATGTTTGTAGTCAAAAGCCCGATCTGGGGATGAATTGTACAGCATGAAAACTATGATCAAGATATTTATCATTCAAATAATAAACTTAAAGCAGAGGAACATAAAACTTAATACACTAAATATAAAATATAAAAAATAAGAAACGACAAAAATTCAGTATAATATTTGTAAAAATGTTGAATACAATGAATTTAATAAAAGTTAAAGTTATCCTTGCCGAGCCACTAGGGCCCATGGTGTAGAGCTTTATCCCCAGTTTCTGTAGTGTGAAGCGGATGAGAGTGTGACGGCCCAACCACGATTTCGGAAACCAAACCATTTCTACTGTGCCAAACCACTTCAACAATTTGATGTCATTGTCATGTCAGTATAAATGTTTATAATTTAATGAATAATAAATAATATAATCCGTGAAATTGATAATTTACTTTACAGTGTTGGTCTTATGTTGTATACAGTAATGCCTATATCAGTGTACTTTGCATTACTCCAGTCATTATTCAAAACTTAACCATAAACACACATCCTTTAAGTGCTTACTATCAGGATTAATATGAATAATTATTGAACAGGATCATCATCAATTTAGTAACTCCAGATCCAAATACTACTGTATGGATGGGTATGCTGAGAGCATGTGCCTTTATGTGAAGGTCAGTGCTGGATAGTTTTGATATTACTCAAGTGAATCAAGTCAAATGTTACATTCAAAGATAGGCTTACAGTTACCCTGAGTGACAAATTAATAATTGATATTATTTAATTTAAGTTGCCTTCAACAAGTACAGTACTGTAAATAACCTGTAATAAAAGTACTGATACCCTGTATTATTGATGGTTGTAAAAAAGACTGTCCAAATCACCATAAACCAATAGTTGTTGTGATGTAAAAGGAATTTACGATTCAGGGTATTTAAAGTGGTATTAATTCTACTGTATTTTGAGATAATTTACTTAATACTTCTAGGAAAATTAATTTTGATAATAATAATTGAAAATCATCATAAATATCTTGTATTTTTAGTAACGTACACTTGAGGTGAATGTACGGTACTGTAGTCATTGGTCATAGATACCGGATTATTCCTATATACATTTACATTTTAACCTGTCTCTTATACACATCTAGATGTGTATAAGAGACAGGGTTCGATGTTGCTTAACTTTGGTGATCGGACGAGAACCGGTGTTTTCAACGTAGTATGGCCGAAAACAAGGAAGCACCAACAGACGTACAACACTTCGATCATCGAGATCAGTGAATGATATTTCAAGTTGTAGACGTGTTACCTGTTAATGACCTATAGATCACTGACGAAGGTGTTTTGCCATAGTCATGTGATCAATGTATTATGTACTACCTTGAGAAGATTCAAGAGGTTACGAGTTTGGACTTATATCTATGCAATATACCTTGGAAAAAATTCCAGGTGGATTATCAACTTTGGCCCCAACTCAACAGAGAACCAAACAACAGATAGTCAGAAACATAATGGGGACCTACATTATTTCTCAGAAACTGTTTACCATCTTAAAACAAAATCATCAAATATATTGAAACGTTCAATCTTCAAAATGTGTTTCACAATATTCGGAGTAATACTAAAGTACAATAAAACGTCCATTTTACGAACGTCAATTTTACGAATTGTCGATTTTACGAATAGGCTTTGCCCCTGATGATGTCATCACTGATCAACTAATTACTGTAAAAAAGTCTGATTGCACACGTTTTACAAAGTAATAATGCATATTTTCCTTGATAAAATCAAGTTTGTTGTATTTATTTATTAATAGTTCGATCTTTTCCATTTCTGGTATAATAATCCCTATATTAATGTAATAAACCTAACCAGAACAACGAGCTACCAATGCAAATGCCGTAGGATTGAGCGCACATGTTTACGATGAAGAATGAGAGTGTTTGGCTCACCAACTTATTGACATTGCGAATGCTAGATATGATTGCGAAATGCATGTAAATACAACGCAGCGATCTAACAACTAGAAAGAACACGAAAGTTCCATAAAGCATACAGATGTTTGAATAAGAGTTAAGGTAACATTTTGTTAAGTGGAAGAATGCCAGTGATTAAAATAATTCGGTTTTTATTGAAGGTAAATTCATCTAGGCTCTGTGTGCGATAGACCACGCTGCTGCACTGTCAGTTCGTGGTAGGCCTGGCAGCCGTCAGCCTATCGGCGCTCAATGGCAGGAGATAGCGAGGCCTAGGTATTGGAAATTGATACCCGATCTAGTTTACAAATTTTTCAATTTACGAATACCCCTTGGTACCAAAGGGTACATAAAATGGACGTTTTAATGTATGTGTTATTGGTTTTATTTAAAACTAATTAATATATCCTCTGGTTATTTACCATCTTCTGTCTATAATAATAATAAAATGTGAGCTATTATTTACATACCATACTATTTTTTTAACACTCTAATTATAAAATGAAATAAATAAAATGACTTATTTAAATGAACAAACCTGAACTTTTAGGAAAAATAAAGACAAAAATATATTGGAGATACTACTGGAAACTATGCTACTGAAAACTGTGCTACACTTTTTTTTTTAATAAGAATACATTTTATAAGAACATTGAGGCTGAAATTGCAAAAAAATTAAGAACAAATTAAGAACAAATTGAGGCTAAGGTAAAATGTCAAATGAGGTTTTTATAAAAAAAAATAAATTAAAACCAACATATCTTTATCCGTACCTTATTTGCAGTAGGTATGACTATATGTAATACCCTCTATAATACAGTAAAGTAAATCTACTGTCAATAATAATTTTCTAGTACGTTCGTAAAGTGTGTAAAAGAAAGAACAAAATAAGAGCATTTCAAGCCTAAAATCGGCAAAAAAAATAAGAACACTGAGCCTGGGCAAAATTTTACTGGTTCTTATTAAAAAAAATTGTATTAGAGATAAATGATGATTCAGACGAAAATTCTTTACATTTAATTTACATACATGATACATTATTCTATGAAAACACAATTAAATTCTGGAATGTCCTAATGCCAAGATATAGCAAGAGGGTGATATATTTGAACCATAATTTATAATTCTAGTTATGTAAGAAATGTTATTTTTTGTCAAAGAATGGTCTTGCAGGTCAATAGACTGATTTTTTTTTTATAAACAATAAGGTATGCAACTACAATAAATCAACAATAAAATACTGTTGTACTCTATATTGTGAAGGAACCGTTATTTTAAGATTAAACTATAAATATCTTTAGATTTATTTTTGTTTTAATTATTTTCTAATCAGTTTTTTGTCTTTTACCTATGATAATGTATCAGTATGTTACAAATACTGTAAGTTCAAGATGGTTGTTGTTGTTGATTGTGTTTCTATGAAATTGGTCATTAACATAAACTTACACATGCTACTACTAGAAAGTTTTTAAATTATTTTTCCCACAATCAGAACAGACATGATTAATGTGTCTGATTATCACAAAACACAACCAAGAACTAGAATCAAGAAAATAAAAAAAAATAAAAATCTTTTTGGTATCCCCTGAATAGGGGTTGGCTGTAAAGTAAAAGATTATGTAAAACTAATATCAACGTCTCTGCAGCCAGAAAAGTTTTCTTTTGTGTGTCCGTTTAACGGGTGTCCAAAGTAAGGAAACGAAAAAGTCAATAAATCTTAAAAAAGAAGAAAAACTGTAAAAAAACAAAAATCTGATTCATTGGAAACTGGAAATTAATTAAAATACGTTTCAAATTCTTAATTAGATGTTTTAATGATGATTGAGGTTTTCCAGATTTTATCGGTAATTAATTTACAAGTATTAATTACTTACTAATATGATCAATAGCACCAGCACAGAACCTTCCAAAGAATTTCTTTGCACCTAGATTTTTAAGATCGTTGATCAGAAATGGCCAAAGATGTAGAACATTGTTTCTGGAAAAACTTTCGCGTTTCTCAACGACAACAACCCTACACCCTAGCAGAGCGGCCTCTATAGCTGTTCGTAGTCCGCATGGTCCACCTCCAATAATCAAAACCTGTGTTGAAAACGAAAAAGAAATATTATGAGATGGAGAAAATAAAGAGGCTAATTAATTAGTCAATTGATATCAAATTATCAAATATCAAATATTAGTCAAATCGATCACATCAATAAGTTAACTAATTAAAATCCATCGTATTGCTACAATAATCCATCAGCATACAACAATTTTCATAAGAACATTCTGAGTAGTTGGACAAGAGGTACTGTATTGTTTTTGTTTCTTGTGCTGTAAAACCTGGTTCAAACCCTACCAGCATCTGGTTTCAATTGGAGTCTGAGTATTCGGCTCTTTGAATAACCATCATATTGAGAGTTATGCAGGCTAAGGACTATGTTTCTTTTTTATCTGTATGTATCTGTTGTTGTAGGTAAGTCAATGGTGCTGCAATGCGGTTGCCATGGGTTTCCAGAGGCTGAGCCTAAGTTTTTCCCATTTCCAGCTTGAAACAAGGACAATAAAGAATTATTTATTGTTATTTTTACTTTCTGTAATTTAACAAGTAATTTATATTTCAAATAGTTAAAATATTCACAGAATTCACTAATGGAGGATTAAACACTAATCACTAATCAACATGTTTTTTTAAGGTAAAGATTACACAAGAGACTATCTAATTACTTAATATAATTTTCCTCACAGTGACAGGAAATTGAGTTAACAGTGCAATATCCTCTAAAACAATAATTATTTATTGTGTACAGTACTCTTTTGGGGAATGAGAAGGTGAGGGTTAAACATGGCATGATGAGTATAATGTTTTACTCTCCATGCTGGAAAAAATGGAAGACTATTTACTGTACAGAGTAGAACAAATATTTCTACAACATCTTCATTGTTTAATACAACAAAGATCACACTTTTGGTTAATAGAGTTATTACTTGATGATTGCACACAAAAGATTATTTAATTGCCTTCAGTGAGCTTGCACAATTTATATTTGTTATAAAATTAGCACTGAGGTGTAAGAAAACAGGTTTGTGCTTTGAGGTCATTTCTACCTAGAACACACAGTAGACCTATCTTATACAGTAATAATAATACTTGGCTTGCTCAGGAATTAGGAATTGTAAGTTTACGGCAATCCACAATTCTGAGTAGGCCTATAATGCAAAATTAATTTTGTTCCCTTGTTTGTGATATAGGTGTAGGTTGTTTCTGTTTCAAGTCTAAACCATTTCCTGATAAAGCAAGCTAGACTAAAGAACAAACTCAGTATTATCTCCTTCAACGCCATCCTGTTCAAGAGCCGACATTTATACTAACCATCCATTTCATTAAACTGGTTGTCAATAAAATGAGCTAATATAATAAACACATCTAGCGTAACGTCGTCTTATTAAAATCAAAATACGTCTTGACATTTCAGAATGGCGGTCAAACCTAAATGATCATTAGACATCCACTGACCACATTTCAGGGCATTGACTTTTGTTCTAGTGCACAGTACAGTAGGCCTACTACTACTGTACCTGTATAATTGTACAGGTTGCAATTAAAAGTATGTTGCATACTGGAATGAAGCAAAGAGAGAGGATGGAAAAGAGTTCCTAATGACTACATAAAATACTGTAATAAGAGAAATCGTTATAGAGTATTCCTCTGGTGCAATCCAACATGAAAATGTGTTATAGATAAATTAAGATAGATGGCATTATAAGCTTTTGGTCTTTGAAGAAAGATGTTAGCTTGAGTACACCTGGAGTTATGAATCATATGTATGAAAACACCTCAGAGAAAATCACTTTTGAAGACAAACTACTGATAAATTTCCTCTTGGTTTCCCATTTATAAAAAAAAATAAAAAAAAAATAGCTTTACAAAATATGCATTAAAAACACTTTTAGCTCCCCTCAAATTAAGCTCCATTTTTAAATGTGATAGATTTTGTTGGGAGTCAATATCCTAATAAGATAAGGTCTCAAATAGGAGACACTGAAAAGATGCTTAGACATATGATCACATCTGGAAGACATGTAGCTTTTGAAAAAGTGAGGTTTAACGATGATGTTAGGGCTGCCAATGATGATGACAATTAGTAGAGTCACATTGCTAAAGGCAGGCCTCCGGTATTACATGATTTTGAAAGGCACCAATGCCAAATGGAAAGTCACCAATGCCAAAATTTCAAGTATAAAAGGGCACCCAAGGCAAAATTTGATTTAGCCTCAGTACAATTTTCGCGCGTGCCTTGATTCATCGTAGACAGGCTAGGCAAGCTAGGCCTAGGCAAAGCCAAGCTAGGCCAAGCCAAGCAAGGCCTAGCCAAGCCAAGCTAGGCCTAGCCAAGCCATTGTTGTTAATGGCAATATGACTTTGTTTAGAGTAATAAGTAATTATCGATTCAATGTTGGAATATACTGCGGCGGTCGGCGATCGTACAAAACAGTCAAATTTCAAGAAGTTCGATATCTTGTGTTGTTGCTTGGTGCATCGTCATCGGAGAGGAAGCCATAACTCTAAACTGGCCGTCATGAACTAGATTAGCTGAGCGTCAACCAATTACGTTAATTTTACACGCTTAAGCTGCGATGACGTAAGATCGCCCAAAGTTAGCTGCGCAGCAAGCACATGTTTACAACTACAGTACAATGGCCATATTCGACTGGTCGTTCTTTGTTAAACCACGCCCACCTGCACAGCGCGCGGTAAAATCCTACTCACCGAAGACGACCAGTCGAATAGAAAACTTGTAAATACTCAACAAAACAAAATGGCTGTATAGTTACCGTGATACATGTTGCGTAATCAAGATTGCTTCAACTTGTGATAGTATGGGTTTTTCGTTAAAAAAATATTTTCATACAGTTTTTGAATTCTGTTAACCTACAATTATTTTTTGACTCCATGTGGGGAAATATTATAATTTTTATTTTATGAAATTTAATCTAAGTTATATTAACGCAAATGTTGTTTATAAACTCACCAATCTGCCATGTTTTTTTTTGGTCATGTGGACAACCTAACGCTGATTAACGCACTCTGGTTTACGTTAATTTTCGTTGTCAACGAAGTCTATTTAACAAACCAGTCAAATGAAAATAATACTCAATGAAAATTCGTACAGTACTCAAAGAAATGAACCACTCGAATAAGCCCAATGTTTACTGCAATAACCGCTCGAGCAAGACGCATGCGCACACAACGGTAACCGCAAAAACAGTTCGTATCAACACACATGGAAATTCTCTCATGTTCTGTTACTGCAACCTTATCTAGGCCTAGGCTAGCTTAGGCGACCTACGTTTTTGGCTTTCATGTTTTCTTTCAAGATATAAACATTTTTATTTAGATTTATTTTACGTGTCAAATGATCTATATTAAGCATCGTGAGGGCACCGAGGCCAAGGCTTCAAAAGGGCAGGCAAGTAG